CAGCCCCCCTCAGATGCCCGCCACCACACGTGCAGCACGGCCGCCGAGACACCCCACCGCAGCGTGTAAACACCCCCCGGGCCTGCCGCAACACACACGCTGCCTGCCTCCCCCGAGACACCTCACCGCAGCACACAGCCCCCTCCAGACACCCTGTTGCAACACATCGAGCCCTGGCTCACCCCCAGCACAGCACGCACAGGGCAGACACAGCCCCCGCCTTGCCTCACAGCCATACCCACACAGCCTACGCGCACCGCCTGGGGCCCCCCACACGCTGGACACCCCGAGTGCGTGCCGTGCTCCTGCTGTACCACCCCAGGCAAGTACCTCCTGCCCAAATTGTGCACCCTGGCTGCATGCAACTTGGGGGTCTGACACACCCAGAAGACTGCTCCGGGGTAAGGCACACAGAGCCCCATGCTCACACATGTGCAGGCCACACATGCTCCCTCCCTGCGGGACTCCTGGGCTGGCTGTGCAGTGCTACCTCACATCCAGAGCCAGTCCCCTGAAATGCCTTCAGCCTCCTCTCCCCCAGTGTATGCAGCTAGGTGTGCCAACCAGCTGGATACCGCTAGGCACTCTGCACCCCTGGACATACCCCTGCCACCCCTGGTGCCCAGGCCCAAGGGATGGGATGGCCCAGCTCTCCCACAAGCAGGCAGGGAAGCTAAGTTTATGGGGGCCTGTCCCGATACTCGGCTGGGGCTGCCATCTCCTGGCGTGGGCCTTTCTGCCCTTGTGCCGCTCTGCTCCCTCCGGGCGCTGGGACTGCCGGCTCCCAAGCCTGCCCCAGACAAGGACCCAGTGCTGGGATCAGGATGAAGCTGGAGCCGGTTCCTGGAGCCCCCTTGTGGTCACTGCTTCTCCAGCAGGGAGAAACCAGCCCCTACCCACAGGATCGTGCCCAGCCCCAGGCCTGTGCTCCCTCCATGTCAGCGGTTTCTCCTCGCCCCCCTGGCTGCCTTCCCTATGTCCAATAATGCCTGGGAGGGCTGCTCTTCCTGCCCTCTCCTGGGCTGGTGCAGCTGCCTCCTGCAGACAGCCCCCAGCTCCTTCTGAGCCCCAGAGACCCCTGCTGATGCTCCCCCCACCTCCTCCCCCACAGCTCAATCTCAGGGCTTGGCTTCAGCCCAGCGCGGTGTCTCAGCCGGCCTGTCACACTGGCCCCAGCATCATCCAGGCGTCCAAAGCAGGGTTGGGCAAAGCCCTTCCTGCCCAGAGAAGAAAGCTTGCTGGTGTCCTCATCACAGCACCAGAACTGCCATCTGCTGCATCAGACTGTAGGTCCATGTGGCCCAGTCTCCGGTGTAACAGGGACAGAGAGTGGATGCAGAAAGGGAGCGAACTGGGTATGACCAGGGTTTTTCCCCGCTGTTCCTCCCTCACTTGCAGCCTCCAGCACATTGGCGACGTGTAGAGGGTGCACGCGGGTGCATGTGCACCCCCTGAGATTGGCCGATGCTGCTGGTGACGTCTGCGGGTAGTCGCCGCTCGCCACCTCCACCCTCACTGCCGA